GGGTAATTTTTGTAGGTCTGCCTAACATCCAACCTTGCCTGTGCATAGCAAAAGCAGGAGATCAAAGGAATGAAAGCGCTCCCTTTGCTAGCACTTCAATCGGTGATAGGAGCGATTAAAATATGAATTAATCTCAGGAAGATGAAAATGCAGATTTTGAATAGGAGCTGTTGGAGTCACCTTGAACTCGTGCTTAGTGCTGTTTAGCCTGGGTGATTAAAGACATTTACACTCCATTAAAAACCTTGCTGCTCTAATGTGAAAAACACCTTGTCAGCTGGGTGTCCTGCGTGCCTGCCATAAGGAGCAACCTCTCTATTGACTGGCTCGTATATTAATTCAGAATAACTTAATAGTGTCGCTGTGAAGAAAAACAAACAGCCTACTTTTTTATGTGGCGAGGAGAGGCAGTGAGAGCCTGGTTCTTCCCAGCACTGTTATGATGAGAGCGAGACAATAGCAATTATCTTCGCCTTTGTCCTGAGCTGATTGTCTCAGGCTCAGACGCTGTTGTCAGGCTGGCTGTTTGGCTGCCACACTTGGTGCTTTAGGAAGGAGGAACATGAACACAGGGGGTGGAAACCGCTGTCTTGTGGTCACTGCTGGACGTGTGAAACATCGCAGTGGCTGCCCACCGCGCGCTGGCAATGCATGGGCCCCTGGTGCTGTGGCCCCACGTTGGGGCAGGAGGAGCTGCCAGCCCTCCCTGCGCCCCCAGCTCCCCTTCGGGGTGAGCACAGGCAAACCTTCACATCGCGTTCCCACCTGCAATGAGGCAGCGTGTGGTCAGCCCTTTGCAGGGCGCTGCAGGAGGCTCCAATGAGAAACCCTGGTGGGGAGCCCCTGCAGAGCTGCTGGGGGCTTCCACCGCCCTGCAAAGCGGGGAGCCCTCCTGGGGCACCACGCAGCAGACACGGCCTCTTGGCAGGGTCAGTCGCTTTCTTGGCGTTTGGCCTCACAGGTAGGGCAAGGCATTGGTGATTAATCACAGCTCCCAGTTAATCACAGCTCTGTCTGGAGGCAGACATTGCAGTACCCCTGGGGTGGCGTTAACAAACCGAGCTCCTGTTCCATTTGCGGATGGAAAAGCAATGTGGTCTGTCAAAATTCCTGCTGCCTTTTTTTTTTTTTTTTTTTTTAAACTATGATTATTTTTTTTCCTATGATGCTTATATTCCCTTGACCAGAATAATCAGCCTTCAGAAAGGGAGCTGCTGGGTCAGGTGTTGGGAGGGGCAGGAGATCTCTCTGTCCTGGAGTGTGCTTGTGAGGGACTTTGGGGCAGGGATGGGGGAGAACTGGGCACAGGGAGACCCCAGCATGCAGCAGGTGACCATGGGGTCAGGGACAACACCAGGCCTTGGTGGGGGTACACAAAAAGACTTCCTCTCTACCTAGAGTGCCTGCACGCAGTTTTCTGCATGCCAGCAAGCTGCAGAGCACTGCCCGGAGAGCACACCTTAAGGAAAGGATCCGTCCCCCAGGAACACACTGGGAACCTGTATCTTACCCACACCATTCTGAGCTTTGTAAAAGGAAAAGCTGTTAGTTCAAGTTCCTTTTCAAATAAAACCTTGGTTTGGGTTGTTAAAACCCCAAGGTCTTCCACGGTGTCCTGGTAAAATGGGTCTGGGCAGATCTACCTGAAAAATCTGGCTGATTCAGTTTCTGTCACAACAGTGACCAGTTCTGTTTCCCAGCTAGGTTACGTACAGTTTTAAAGACAGTTTCATTATAAGCAACTTGATGCAGAAAATTCAATCCAACACCGGTCATTTCAAATAGTGCATAGTACTCAGAACATAAATAGCTTAGAGACACGCTCTGTGTTTGCTGATACATGCCTGTCAGCTTTGCTGACAAATCCCCAACCTATTGTTTGCTTTTTTTTTTTTTTTTTGCTTCGCCCCCAAACCTCAGGCATTATTAAGTGATCTAAAAAGGATATAAAGCATCACCTCTGTTAACTGTTACTCTGGTCCAGCTACTATCTGTGATCGCTGTAAGCACCCAGGCCTCTGGGGATGGTATATCCTCTGCACTGGGGCTGCAAAATAAATGAGTGCTCAATTGGACTGAAAAAGAAAATATTCTGTAAACTGAGATTTTTCATATTTGATTTTTTCAGAAAGATTTAAGGATGTGGAAATGCTGTAAAGTTTTGCCATATTTCCCCCCTGCACAAAATAGGGGTGGCTGCTCTAGGCATTGCTGCGGGCAGAGGGCTCAGTGCTGCCTGACCATCCTGATGTGGGTGGAAGTGATCCTAGCAGCTGCTGGAACCTCCAGGTTCTGGAATTCCAAATTCCACTTTTGTCAGAAGGAAATGCAGCCACAGAGGCTTGGTATATCCCATATAACCTAGTAAGAAAACTTATGGGAAACAATAATGCACTTGGAAAAGTAATGCCGTTTATGTTAATAAACTGTATGTAAAAATGTTTAATTGCTTTCCCTCAGCTCTAATACCAATTATTTTAACTGTAACAGTCAGTGAAAATTCAGTGCAGTTTCCACTGACACCTGCAAGCCTCTTTTTAACCTCAGTTGGTGCTGAATTAGTTCCTAAATAAACCTCTAGTCATGACTTGAAAGGACAGTGCTAAGTATATTATAATGGGACCCATAATAAACACATTTTCCTGAACTAATGCTATAGGATAAAATAAATCAGGTTTCCGTATTAACCATGTAGCCGAGAGTGGTGAATGGAATGGAAATATTGCTCCTGCCATTTATACGGGGGAGTGAGAGAGACAGTTCCTCATTACAGGTACTTTAGGGCTATGTTTAAATAAAATACTTTCTGTTGGCTTGCCCTTGAACTCTGTCCCCTTCATCCAATTAAGCAGAAGTCAGTGAAAGAGCAACGTAGCTCAGAGCTTGCCCTGCAAACTGTAGGGCACTGGAAAGGCTCAGATCTAATCCTGCCATCATGAGGGGTTTGAAAAGTTTAAATCAATTGTCTGTGGAAAATCAATTATGTAGCAGACCAGTTTGCCTTCGTGGCGAATGGAACTGATTCATCTGTGGAGTGCTCTCCTGTGCAGGAAGAATTATATTTGAGGTCTACGGCAGCAAATATTGGGAGAGAAACTGAACGACTTCCTACTTAATGATAAGCAAAGTGCCAGCCAGAGCTGCCTGGAGACCACGGAGCTCATGGCTTCAGCTGGTGATGTTTCTTTTACTGTCACGTCTCCTGTGCTGACGTGCTTCAGGCGTTCCAGCAAATTCACTGATCCTTCCTTGCCCTGTTATTTTTGTGAAAACATGAATTTGGTTGTCAGTGCATGTTACTGCAGCATAGACAATAGCCCAGCATAATCCCAGCTAGCGCTGATTTCATGTGAGTCCTTACTAAATAATGTAAAACATTGCTGAGCATTCACAAATTGTCATTGACATCACAGGATGATGTTAGGTGTTGCTTACGGGAAAACTCTCAGTAACTTCATGGTTAGGCCTTAGATCCTGGTAAGAGTTAACACATCTCTGGATACAAGTAGAGAAGCTGGTTACTACAGAATAATGCAAAATACTGATGCTGGCAAAGGTTTCCACACAGCTTAATTCTACCTTTACCTCTAGTAGGGTAGGAGAAGAGGCAAGAAACACAGTGTTTGATGGGGGAAATTGCAGTGATAGAAGTGGAAAGGAATTAGGGAACGTTTCCAGATATATAACCTTTCTGGATATGCCTTTCCAGATATAAAGAGAACAGTTCCAGTGGTCAGACACCAGAACAAGGGCCCAACGAAGGTCTGGGATCTCACCCTTGGCAATATTTAAATCTTGACCAGACAAGGTCCTCAGCAACCTGATACAGCTGAAAGAGCTCTGAGCAGGAGGTTGGCATGAAGACCTCCAGAAATCCCTTCCAACATGTAAATTATTCAGTGTTTCTTTTTCTTGCCTGGTCCTGCATCCACCATGCAGAAATTCGGTGCTAAGAGAATATATGACAAATAACTGTCATTATAAGCATTTACTGGTTGGTGGTGTGCATTTAACACACTCCAGTTCTTGAGGATCATTCAGAACAAATAAGAATCCACAGTGAAGCAAGTTGATGTCAGCGTTAAGTAATCTGGTCTTCCTGCACGTCAGTTTTCAGCAGATATCTCTAAGGGAGCAGAGGCAATGCCACACTTCAAAGTATTAAATCATGGGTTTGAACTGTTTATTTTTTCCTCTGAATATTCAGTGTTGTCTCAGTGTCTGGCTATAGCTGAGTGTCTTGGCATAACAAAACTTGGAAACGTGAATTTCTGTGAAACACCAACTTTAATTTAAGCGCATCTACAGTCACTGCGTCAGTGGCATTGAGCTGTGCCCACAGTTACAAAAGAGATCAACAGCGTAAACCCCAAAACAGAAAGCACATTTTGGTCCCTTCTTTCACTAGTTTAGCTTCCTTGCTTCACTGCTTCATTATTTGGTTGTTGGTTTTGGTTTTCTGTTTTTTTTTTTCTTTTCTTTTTTTTTTTCCGCCTTCTGGGAATGTTTTTCAGAATAATGTGATACTTGATATGACACAAGTGAGCAATAAAGCAAAAATTATTGTGGAGTCATTTTAGTTACGGAGTGCTATTAAAGTTGCCATTTATTTCCTGTCATTTAATTGACAAGGCTTGAATTAGACAGGCAAAATTGTCACTGATGCTCTGCTGCTGCGGAGGGGGTACGGAGTTTAACATCATACCGTGAGAGGGGAAGGGAAGCATTTCAGCGGGTCTGTGCTGCACAAGGGACATGTCTTGCCATGCTGTTCTGCTGAGGCTCAAGTACTCCTGTGCCATATGAGGTGCCAAGCCCAGGAAGAAAACTGTCAGTTTGTTGCTTTAAATCAGGCACAGACCGTGCAAGCTCTGGTGCTGGTCAGGATAGCAGCAGGGTAGCTCTTCAGGTAGAATAGGGATCCTGCTTAGAAAGAGGTCAGAAGGGAAGGACAGGAAGTGGAACTGAAGAACTTACCTTATTTCTTGTCCTCGTTACAGCCTGAATAGCGATGCTAGAAGACAAAAGGCAGAAGAGGATGAAACTCTGCTTTTCAAAGGTCAAGCAGCATCAGTAATGAGAGCTGCACGTAGAGACATCTAGCACAGGTAAGGGAGCAGCCAGACTGCAAAACAAGACAACAGCTCATGCTGGAAGTAACCTGATCAGACAGAGGGAGGTGTAGACTCAGTGACATTCATTCAGAGTGAATATCACAGTTACTTTTCCACATCTTCCTTTTTGTTTTTGTGTAAGTACTATTGAGAGGATTTAAAAACAATCCCGTTCTCATGCCAGAACTTCACACAAGTACTATGAGGTTCTTCAGGGCAGCACCACAAAAATTCTGCAGGTGCCCCTCCTCCCTTGCCACCTTTATTTATAGAGCTGTAGGGCAAATGTTGGAATTACAAGTTGGTACAAATTAAATTGATTATCTGGTATTTCTAGACATCTTGTCCTCTGGATACAGAAGAAAAACAAGAATATATAAAAGTTAATATTTAGTATCTTTCTGATTTCAGATAATATTATTTTAGAACACAGTGAGAAGTAAGATTTTATTGTTGCATATTTTGTACCAGTAACAGTCATCATAATGAAAACCTCTCTGAGACAGAGGGTGAAATTTGTCCTTCCTCCTGCTCAGAACACAATCTGTCCCACTGATATTGAAGCCCAGCGCAGGAGTAAATGTCACCTGGTGGCTGCAGTGGCATTTGCAGTACATCTGGCATTTTCTGTCACAGTTACTGGAAAATACCAAGGTACCTCCCAAGTCCTGGTATGGTATTGATTGGAGGATGCTGGAGGAGGGCTGAGTTTAAAGACAAGCAGTGTATATCAAAGGAGTTGCTGATGGTTATAGCACATGCTGATAGTGTGGAAGGGGCTTCCATGGGGGGCACAGCCTTAGAGGACATAACTCCCAGCCCTTTCTTTGAGAGCTGAGGCAGAGCCACAGAATTGCACAGGACACTGCAAGGGTTGCCATTAGGGCATGCTTTAATCTAGCCCCAGTCTGGGCTTGATTCTGACCTCTCTCTGGGGGATGCTGGGACTGATGTCAGGTAAGGTTAGGCGTGACTCTCAGGCATGTGTACAAGATCCCAGCTATCAGAAGTGTCAACTCGTATCTAGCTTGAAGTCCCTCAGAGTCAAGCTTTCCACGGTTATGCACAGGAATACTTCATGTGAGTACCTAAATATGGGTTCAGATGCCTGTCTTTTAAGCACCCAAGATCAAAAATCAGGCCGCAGGTTTGATCTTCTGTGACTTGTTTCCTCTCTGCTGAGCAAATCATGTCTCTGGCCTCTGTTTTTTGGAGGAGGAGCTGTCCTCTGGCTCTAGAGCTCTGCCACTGGCCAGTGGCACAGAGCCCAGGGTCTTGTGGGGTTAAACTTCTTATTGAGGGATGAGAAACATGAACTTCAGGCTACTGTGGGCATTTTGTTCACTTGTTTTTTCTGGAACTTCAGGCTCCCTCTAACAGCCAGGGTTTAGCACAGCTTTGTGATGTGATAGCCCAAGGGAGCGTAAGAGAGAGCAGTTCTTAGGGGCCTGCAATGTTTTCCTGGTGCCCCCTTGTTCTGGAGAGCCCTTCTGCAGAGCTCCTGGCTACGTGCCTTGCTCCCCAGTCCTGGCACTGTGCCTCCAGGTGCCTGCACTGTAAGTGCATTCACAGCACCAGTGTCACTGCCTAAGTATGAAGTGATGCTCCATTAGACATTCCTGCTGCTCTCACCTTCCCCAGCTTCTGGGGAAAGTCTGATATGATCTCCCCTGTATCTCCTGTGTGTTCCCAACTCTCAGCAGAGGATTGCCTCTGTTTCTGTGTCCTAGCTTCTTGGAGGAAGCATTTTCTTCTGACCTGCTTTCTTTTGCATGCACTTCCCATTCTACTCTGCCACACTGCACCTGCTGGGCTGGTTTTCTTCTTCCCCGTTTATCCTGGACTTATCAACCAGGAGGTTATGAGGATAAAACAAGAAGCAAAGCATAGGGAGGTTTATATGGATCTGACTTATTATCCAAGACTGGGATAACAAGTGTGTCTTTGGGGTGAGACCATAGGAGGAAGCATGAGAGACGTGCACTAATTGCTGTATAACCAACTAAAGCCTGATGCTCTCCTTCCTTCTGTTAATTCATCATTCCCTTGAGCACCACAGTCATGACAGTAGTGTGGTTTGGGAGGACAGGGCTATATTTGCTTAAAAAAGGTTAACGTTTTAATAAACCAGTCTGTGCAGCCAGTGTTGAAGTGCAACAAAGAAGGGAGAGGCAGGACGGTCGTGTTGGGACAGAGGGCTGCTTTTGGTCGGGGAGCCAGCTCTGCTTCATCTGCACGCTGAAGTCCCTGTTGCTCAGGTATCTCCTCTTGCCTAATTAAATTGTCTGTGTGCTTAGGTGGAGAGAGATGCAAAGTGCAGAAACAGTGTACGGTGCTTACATAACCTAAGTGATTTCTGCAGCAATCATTGTAGGAGTTAGCTAATGGCAGGGTACGGGGGCCTCCTGCTGAGTTTCCATTACCTTGTAATTTTCAGCTTGTTCACTGTTGCAAGAAAGCCCCTCTGTCTTGTAATTCCTCCAGCATTCATGTCTCATCTTCTCCAGACTTGAAGTACATAAGATGCTTTCTGCTGGGGGATTTATTGAGATAAGTTATTGAAGTCAAGCAGTGAGGCAAGCATCCAATATTATGCTATTCATCTCTGAATTTATGTTCCCACTTTCTTTTGAAGGTCTAATGTAATCACAAACAATTTGTTTTGTATATGTTTAAAAATTCATAATTTTCTTGTACAATGGAAAAAAACAGCACTTGTAGCTCATTAGTGGTTGGATTCACAAAACATCTGGCTTTTCCTTTTGATGTAATTTCTGTGTGACTAAAATTCTGCCTTCGTTTTGAGCGGTTCAAATGAGGAGGTACAATCACTCTGCCAGAAACCCATTAAATGTGCCCATGAGTCAGCCTGTGTAATCTTCCAAGTTTGTTTGGGAGGATTAGAATCCCTTTTCCCTCTGGCGTTTTCTGATCAGCTTTCCCATGGTGTTGGAAAACCCCCTCCTGCTGACCCCTGGTAAGGGAGGTCCCTGCTCTCCCACTCTTTCTTTTAGCTCCTCCGTGAACCCCCCGGAGCTCTGTGTGCTGGGTGCTGCACAAGCACGTCGGAGGAGCGTGCCTGGCAGAGAATTTAAGGGTCTGATTTGCAAGGGTGGCAAGCACACCCAGCTCTGCTAGGTAGCTGCTCAGTTCAGGACAGCTTAGTGCTGCTGGGATAAACCAGGCCCTGCAAAATCTGGATGGTATCGCTTGAGGTGCACGTGGCCAAGCTGGGAATTAACCACGCCTTCTACCTCCCATTCCGTAACCACAAGCCAAACATCTAGCTTTGAGAAGCTGCCATTTGTAGCCTGAATGTTCAGAAAGAATAAAAAGACCCCAGGAGCCACAGCCGATGAAGAGTCAGGCTCTGATCACAGGCAGTGCTGCTGGTGTGAAGCATGGGCAAGGTCTTTAGGGCTTACTCCAAAGCGCACTGGAGTCGAAATGAGTCTCTCCTAAATGTCAGGTCAGGAGCTTACCATGGCTGTGTCAGATGTTAGAACTGGTTGCTGCTCTGTGCTGCTAACATGATAGTGATTTTCTTCCAGGGCAACAAATCACACTGCCCAGGCTGATGGGGAGGAAAATGTGACCAGACAGCAAAATTGCTAAATTTACAGCAATGCTGGTACATCCTGGGTCTGCAAAATCATGCGTTAAGCAGGATGTATTTTCCTATGCACAGGGTTAACAGCATGCTCGAGCCATTCAGTTGTACCTGCGAAGCAAGGTAAGAAAGCAGCCTTTAGCTCAGCAAAGCCCCATGTAAAACTTCAGAGGAGGGCTGTCTGCCCAAGTGGACTCAGTAGGAGCTGATAGCCCCTGATAGCCTCCTGCCATATCAGTCAGCCTGGGCAGGTTCCTGCATTTATTGAGCTTAATCCACTTCCAGCCCAGTGGAAATTTCAGACATTCAATGCAGATCTGCACCTGCCTGGCCTGGTTGTTAAAAGGCTGAAGCTGCAACCGGGGTCTTTCCAGAGCAGTTTCTGTTTCCAAATACAAGTGCAAAATATTGTGGAGGCTCTCCTGTCACTGGGAGATGCTCACACTCCCCCTGAGATTAGTTTTCTGCAACCATATTGCTTTGTTTTGCATTGCAATTCATGTTTCATGGATGTGTAAATGTATTACTGGCAAGGCACAACCACGTGCTGACCGTGGGTGGTTCACCTCTGCCTCCAGTTTATGTGCACTTTTTGCTTATTGGCCTCCTGTATGTGTCCTGCTACTCTTCCTGAGAGTAATGTAAAGTTATTTCTCATTTAAAGTTATTTCTCAGTATTCTCATTTCTTATTTTTCTCATTTCTGAGGTGCACCCACCGGTGGCAGCATCCTCCAAATAGGCTTCACTGGTGTGGCCCTGTTTGGTCTCCCCTATGATGATGCTGTTGGACAGAAAAATGATGTTCCCTGAGGGCAGGAAGGTCTCTGCAGGATAACCTCACAGCAAGGCTGGCAAAAGCCTCAGAGCTTGGTTGACTTCAGTCCAGCTCTGTGTGTGGTCACAGCTGAGGATGGGTCTCCTTGCTCCCCAGCCAGTTCCCCATGTTCAGGAGGCTGTGTTTGGCTGTATTTAGATGGGGTGGAAAGGGTGCCAACTGCAAGGCTTAGAAACAACTTTAGCTGTGAACTTGGACCATAGTCTGGGAGCTGAGCTCCTTTTCTTGTCATCAGATGTAGTCTGGAGGAGGCTGCTTTTTCTATTTAGAAGATGTCTACATGCACATCATCCTCCTGTGCTCTGGTAAATCTTTCCTCATTTTTCTTTCCTTGCAGCTACCCATGCACTCAAACCTGTTCCAGAGACTTTAACTCTCTGTGTAACGTAGCATTATCCAGCTAATGCATTGAGTCAGTTGAAGCTCTCAGAGGCATTTGTAAGGCCAGATTATTATTTTTTTCCCCACTAGCAGATCTTGCAGATGTGCACAGTAGCTTCTGATGCCTCATAATGTCACCTTTACAGAGAACACAATTACAAATGGAT